AGTTTGGAGACTGTAAAGTGCAGAAATGCTGGCTTAGTGTATGGAATGAGAAACAACATCCAAGAGCCGTTTGGAAGCAGCCTGCAAATGTCCTTATAATTGAAGTGTCAGAAATGCTATAAATAAGGAGCAATTAAAGCTCTCTGGCACCTGTGCAGGTGGCTCTTCTATTGACAAGGAGGAGGAAAGTTCACAGAGTGTTGTCAATTTTCTTTGGTTATTTTGCCTGGCTTTTAGAGGGGCTTGCAAATGTTTGCATTTTCTTGAGCAAACCCAGAAACCCAGCATAAAAGCTTTCCAAAGAAAAAAGGCTATCTTGCAAATAAGAAAGATCATGGCAAAAATATTTCCTTTTTAAAAACAATGTGACAAAAAGCCTAAGTACAAAAAAAGTGTTTGACAGACAGAGAACATAAACTTTAATGTTTGGTTGGTAATAATCATTTAGAGAATTTTAAATAATTTTAATAATATCTTACGTAAGATAAGAAAGTGATCTGGTTTATATGTTAATGCTTGAACAAAATTAGAGACTAGATTGTATTGCAGAAAAAATGGTCCAAGAAAGAAAGATTACCTCAGGGTTATCTTTATAAAAATCCAAAATGGTGAGTAAAATGTCACTATCTGAGGGAATATCTTCATCTTCTTAGTGGAGTCAGACTGTTATTTTGTCCAATGATGTGATATTTTCCATAAATGATATCAAAGATTTAGCCAACAAATTAGAAGCTCACTTATTTGTTAGGTGACTTAATTAACAAATCTGTACTTTAATTATACAAGATATAACAGGTCTAAGTGAACAAATTGTTGTACAATGAAATTTAAGATTTGCATACATTTTCACAGTATTGTTAAAATCAGTAAAACTCACCCTGCATCTCCATCAAGTAAAAAGTAAAAGGACTGTTTTGTAATGAAGCGTGGAGAAGTTATGCAGGTAGTCCTTGGCTTAAGACTACAACTAAGCCTTTAAGCGAGACAGTTGTTAAATGAATTTTGCCCCATTTTATGACCTTTCTTGCCACAGTTGTTAAGCAAATCACTGTATTTGTTAAGTTAGTAACATGGTTGTTAAGTGAATCTGGCTTCCTCATTGATTTGCTTGTCGGAGGATCGCAAAAGGTGATCACATGATCCTGGGACACTGCAACCATGGTAAATATGAACCAGTTGCTAAGCAACTGAATTGTGAGCACATGACCTTGGGGGTGCTGCAATGGTTGTAACTTTGAAAAAAAAATCACGTCACTTTTTTCAGTACTGTTGTAACTCCGAATGCTCACTAAATGAATGGCTGTAAGGGCCAAGGTGGCGCAGCAGTTAGGGTGCAGTACTGCAGGCCACTTTAGCTGACTGTGTTCAGCAGGTCAGCGGTTCAAATCTCACCGGCTCAAGGTTGACTCAGCCTTCCATCCTTCCGGGGTAGGTAAAATGAGGACCCAGATTGTTGGGGGCAATGTAAATATATATATATACATTGCTTACTGGTGTACACCGCTTAGAGAGTGCTTGCACTTAAAGCGGTATATAAGTCTCATAAATAAATAAATAATAATAAATACCTGTATGGCCCTCACCAGATTACATGGGTAGCTTCTTGCCCCGAATAGACTAAGTATGTTTGTTTATACAGGCATATAGTCCTATGTTCTGTATAAACTTCATCTTCCATACTAACATTTGCCATATTGCTATAGCATTTTTCCTTTTTCCATTTGCTTTCTGAAAATTTGTAAGAGTTGAAGTTAATCAGCTGGAAGCCTTTTAAAGTGTTGAATCACAGGGATAGTTAATGTAACAGGCTAAAATGGCAACCTGAAAAAGCCAGCCCTTTGTTTGTGAATGCCGAGGAAGATTATCTAAAAGTGGCCTTGATGGATTTGAGGTGAGAGGAAGTACAAAATGCCTTCTTAAGCCATTAGTTAGCACTATGAGATCTGAACACATTGCCTGATGGGTTGAGCTACATACTGAGTGCAAATAAATCCCTAAAGGTTTTTGAAATGAAAATTTTGAGCAGACGCTTGGCAGCAAATGGTGCACTTAAATCTTTCCTCATCGTCATCAAATGCAAGTTATTTGTGCTTCTCCCGTCACTTGTCCCATGGATGTCAGTTTCTTTATAGACATGGTGGACAAGGCACTCAGAACTCTCGGGCGGGGGTGGGGGTTAGAAAAAAGCACAGGTTTGAACAGACCAACATGGAAAGGGTGAAGCCAAAACTGTGTGGAATGACCATTGGATGTTAGGCAGCTAGAAAGATAGAGAACTCCTTTGTGAGGCACAGAGGAGAACCTTCCTTCATACATTATACCTTTGTCTGCAATGCAATTCCTAGTTCCCTACACAGAACAGAACAGAATTCTTTATTGACCAAATATGATTGGACACGCAAGGAGTATGATTGAGTTACTGCTTAAACTCGGCTGAATTAAACATGACTTCTCCCTTCTCTCCCATTCCTTCACTCGGACTGGGAGGATGTCAAAGAGCAACTTTGCCAGATTACCTTCTAGTTAACAGATTTTTTCTGATGGGCCACTTCTAACAGCCATTTTGTGAATAGGCAACAAGTCCTAAACCTTGGCAACCCTGACCTGTTTTCAAAGTGTTCTTTTGTGCACAACAGTTGCCTGCCTCTTGCCTAGACTATTTCTGATCGGGATGGGCTGCCAAGTGATATTGATTATTTAGTATTTAGCTGAAAAAGACAATTTGTGGTAGAGATGCTGCTTAAATTTCCTGTGAAATTCTGGAAATGTGGGAAGTCCCTGATGTGTCCCTTTTACTCCAGAAGATTAAAATCCTAGTTTGCAGTAGCACTTCTGTGGGAGGATATACCGTAATGTTTAGAAGTCTTTTGTATGGTAGCATTTGTGATACTTGATGAAGCAGTTTTTAGTCAGGTTATAAGATCAGAACACCTTATGTGAGGGAGATTGGCAGTTCTTAACCATGACAAAATAAGTAAATAACATTTCATAACACCACCTATTGTAGTAATACAAAATACTTAACATTGAATATGTACTTAATACAATGGATTAGGTGTAATTTCCACAAAATAGGGATGGACTTGTGGGATATAAATTCCCCAGCTCACATTTACCAGCTCATCTTAAACCTCAACCTACATTTATATCTCTGATAGTCATAATTATATTGCAAGAGAATGTTTAAATGCTTTAGAAAGCTTTAAAAAAATTAGAATTCAGTTCATTTACTTATGGGAATCCAGAACCCTTATTCAGAGAATTATCTAACTTTAATTAAAAATTGCAAGCATGGCACTTCCTTGACATGAATGCATTAACAAATTAGCATTAACGTATGTGAATGATTTTTTTAAAGGGAAATTATCAAAAGGGTAAATAAAACATGAGAAACCCTTTTCTTTTCAACGTTATAGACCAGTTTTCCCAATCTTGACAACTTAACCAAGATTAATGCTAAGTGGGGAATTCTGGGAGATGAAGTGCGCATGTCTTAAAGTTGCCAAGATAGGGAACCCCTGCATAGACCTTCATCTTTAATTTCATGTGTTTGCTTCAGAGTTATTACTAAATAACGTTTTTATACTGCTAAGTATATCCATGCATCAATTCATGCAAATTATATCCATGCCATTAAAGGAAAACTACCACAAATGAAAACTAAGAAAATACATCCTGCCCTGGGCCACCTGAACCTCCAGGGTCATGTTCCACCAAGCAGGCCCAGCAACAGGTGAACTATAGTAGCTGGCTGGGGAAATCTGGGCATTGAAGTCCACAAATCTTAAAGTTGCCAGGTTTGGAGACCTCTGACCTAGACTATGCAAAGCCCTAAAATAACTAATCTGTGCCTAGATTAATACGTGTAATTGAACTGAATTGAACTGAAAGTATAACTTAAATGATTTAGCTCTTGGGTAGTGAGAATTGCCTTATCAGTGGATGTTTCCAGAGAAGTCCTGGGTCTCAATTCCATTCCTCATGTAATGTTATTAGGGAAGTCTAGAGCTCCCATCCAATCTTAACAATATAGTCCAGTGATGGTGAACGTTTTAGAGACTGAGTGCCCAAACTGCAACCCAAAATCCACTTATGCATCGTCGAGTGCCAGGTGGGTGTGGCCCATTGGATGGGTGTGGCCCAGACTGGGTGGGACTAAAAAGTTTAATCAATCACTTCCAACTCTGCAAGATCTTTTTTTCCCCATGAGAAGTTGAAATTGACTGATTGAATCTTTTTTTTTTTGCACATGGCAGTGGAGGCCTAAAGCGAAAAGGTTTTATAAAACCCAGCTGAAGGCCTAGGACTGGGGTGACGGCGCGCGTGCCCACAGAGAGGGCTCTGAGTGCCACCTCTGGCACCCGTGCCATAGGTTCGCCACCACTGATATAGTCGTTTTCTGATGTTTCAGTTTGTCAGCTATGCAGTCCTTATCTATAGCTTGATTATATGAATTTGTATGACCATTAGATGGCAACCAATAAATATAAAGTCTAATTTTGTCCTCCTCTAAAGTCTAACTCTTTGTGTGATTAATCAAAAAGTCTAACAATCCTCCCATAGTAACCCAGAGAAAGTTCCTGACTTATGACTATTTGATTAACGACAGTTCAAAGTTACAATGATGCTGAAAAAGGTGAGTTAGCTCCAATACTAGTTTAGGTGCCTTTTGCCATTTTATGGCAAACTTAGAATACAGAATATAGAATAAAAGAGTTGGAAGGGACTTCAGAAGTCATCTAGTCCAACTCCCTGCACGAGCAGGAGAGTCTATACCATTTCAGACAGATGACTGTCTAGTGTCTTCTTGAAAGCCTACAGTGATGGGGCACCCACAACCTCTGAAGGCAAGCCATTCCACTGGTTGATTGTTCTCACTGCTAGGAAATTTCTCCTTAGTTCTAGGTTGCTTCTTCCCTTGATTAGTTTCCATCCACTGGAATATAATGCTTATTATAATTTACATATGATTTATAACTTACATATTTCTTCTTCCTTAGTGTCTAAAACAATACATACAATTGGCCATCCGTGAAGGGTGTGGTTCTCCCATCACTTGTCCAGACATGGTCTGTTTAGGCCATGGGATGCTACAAGAAACAGAGGTATTTATATTTAGTCCTCTCTCATTGCTTTTAATCTTTGTCATTCATTTACATAATGAATATATTAGATTGTTTTCCCCCTTAATTACCCTAATGACTACTTGGCAGAAAGCCACTTCAAGGAGAAATTAGAAACAAGCAGATGGTTTTTCTCTTGTTTTCCCTTTCCTGGGGAAATGTTTACTTGGCATCCAGACAGTCTCAGAATTGCTTGCTTGCAACAAGAACATTCTCAATTTGAATATCCCTAGTTCTTTGTTAGTGATGGATTCTGGAAGATGTACTATGGCATTCAGAATTGTAAAACACAAATGGTAGAAATGTTACATGTCGCTTGAGAAGGATTTTTTTTTTTTGGGATGGAGAAAATGGTGCTTGTACAGTATATACTTGGAAGGATATATATGAACCCCAAGTGCAATTCATTGGATGTCCGAAGTGTTATGTATACCCCAACTATGCAGTTCTTTCTAATAAAAACTCAGGATAAAAAAATATCACATGGCCAATTTATATTAAATCTCTTCATGGAACATTAATGTCCATGGTTCTTATCATATCTATTGTCATTATACGAATTACTTGTATGTTGCCATTCCAAACAGAATTTTCTTAGGATAACTTACCACAGGGGTGTCAAACTGCCAGCCCACGGGCCGGATACGTCACGAAACCACACCCACCCCATTGCCGGCAATGGGGAAAAAGTTCCAATACGTCGTGCAACGTCACTTGACGTCGCAAGTTTGACATGTCTGACTTACCAGATGGCAAAATTTGCTAATTTTAAATTAAGATGATATATAATAGGATTAAAAATGTCCAAGGATTATCAGTTGGTTAAAAGGTTAGGAGCAGTCTAAACATTTCATGTTAATATAATTCATTAAAAGGTTTGATAAAATAATGCAAATGAGATATCCTTTCTTGGAAGGTGTTGCAATGGAATATGTGGATGACCTTGGGGAACAAAGAGAACAAAGACCTAAAATAATAATAAGCTTTCGGCATTTTGAATGTAGAGAAAATGCAGTGCTAAAGTATGCATGAAATCATAGTAGAGTGTTCCAAGATTATTGTTTGTAAAGCTCCTGAAATCTAAGCTTCATTTCAGTTAGCCAGGCAAGAGGGCACTTGAGGGTGTACAACTAATGGGCCATTAATGTTTTCTTTTGTATGCAACCCTAAATATTGAATGAATAAACAATGAGAAAGACATTTAATGGGCCATGCATGATGGGAAATGCTGGAGTTTGTTATGGGTTTTGTTCTTTATGTATCTACACTGATATATTATAGTGACGAGTAATCATTCTGACCAGAATAGATGCTCTTAAAAGCAGCGAATGATCTATGCTGGGCCAAAGCTTTAGTAAGCTTTTACCTCTTTTAATGAATAAACAGTATGGGTATATTACTCTTTGCTACTATAGAGTACTTCATATGCTGTTCTGATTATATCTCTATCTCAGCTATATCTCAGCTTTATCTTGTTGCCCACCAAACATGTTACATTGATAGCCTTGATGGCTTTTGATCATAGCTGCTCGGAAATACTATATGTTATTTGTTAAACAGGTTTGTTTATTACATCACCATCAAAGCTGACACCAGCCAGAGCATAGAACAACTGAAAGAAATAATGCAAGATCAGAACTGACATGGAGAGACGTGGTCCATACAATTTCCAAGAGTTTGACACAACTGAATGGATAATATCATCACAATCATATATGAGAGAGAGAGAAAGACATTATAACACATGGCGTGGGCAAGGAGGTATTCTAGGGTGCAGAGGTTTAAGAGGGAAGGACATCCACTCTTGTCCCTGTCCTTTTGGTATAAAATGTTCAAGATCTGAAAAAGGCCTGTTAGAATAATTAGCAGGACTTTCAAGATACTTTCTTGTCAGGGTCCTCAATTAAAGGCAGATGCTAAGCATACTCACTTGAATGTACACTTCATTTCAGATTTTCATGCTAAGAACCTGAAGATCTCCAAGAAAACCTGTCAAATAAAGATATTTGGAGTGGATACATACATGGTACCCATATCTCTTCCCTAGAGGTCTTGACCTATCTTTAAAAGTTTGCCTCAAACTGTTCTCCTTTTTAATAGTCAGGGGCTTGCCACCTAGAAATTATCCAAGTCTTTATACGCTGATACATGCAGTTACATGTTTATGTTATTTGGCCATTAGACTAATAAGGTGCACTGAAATTCAGTAGTATTTCTTGGCTTAGAAATCAGGGGTCTTCAAACCTGGCCCTTTTATGACTTGTGGACCAACTCCCAGAATTCCTCAGCCAGGCATGCTGGCTGAGGAATTCTGGGAGTTGCACAAGTCATAAAAGGGCCAAGTTTGAAGACTCCTTGCTTAGATGGTAAAACCAATTTTTTACTTTAAAAGATCTAGATTAAAACAGCCTAGAGATCAACAAAAAGAGGTACAGTCTGATGACTTGCATTAGAACTAAGAAGAATGAGACTGCTATGAAAACTTTAGTTGACAAAGACCTCTTTTTATTGCATATGTGAATGTACTATAACGGTGGCTCAGTGACTGAGAGAATATAAACCATTTAATTTACTTTCTAGTTAACTCCAGAAAGAATAGCCCAAGACTGTAAATGACTAGGAATGATGGAAGCGGTCAAACTAGTTGTAGCTTCTAATCTGTTGTATGGTTATTATCCTTAGGGTCTTTTAATGATATATTTTTTTAAAAAGTCATCTCTGCATATTCCACTAAAAAGGCACTATGCAGTGCCCAAATGATAAATACAAATTACTATGGGAAAGTATGCAGTGCAGCTTTATGGTGTGGGTCTTCAAACCCCAGATTTCCACTTGAAAATCTAAGCTTTTAAAATTCCTTCTTTGCTGACGTAATTTGTTGGCTGCAGAGACCTACAAGAAGTTCTAATATATGCACTCCAACTATTGTGAGGAGTCAATTGGAAGTAGTCCATTTGAAGTACATCTACAAGCCCCATTTAATGTCCTAGAGTAAGTTGGTCAACAAGAATAACATTGTTTTGAGTGTCTTTCCAAAGTCTACATTACCCACTAGAGCAGAAAAATAATTTCCACTCCATATCCATTTTCCTGAAACTTGAAATAGCATTAATTGGTTACATAGGTTTTCTTGAAATAAATTCTGTTCAAAAACAACTATAATAAGCCTTTGGAACACTTCCATGGCAACTGAACAGGATTTGGGTGCCTAAAAATAGTAACATAACTCCTATTTAGTTTGCTTATCCTGTCTTTTCATAGAATATAGCCGGGTGATTAAGGCTCCTCCTGAGCGCTATTCATTTTCTTTTAAATTTGAGGGGAATAATAGGAATTTGAAGTAGATGGAGGATAATTGTTTGGAGGGGAAATGAGACAGCAAGTGAATGATGAGTGACATTTAAAAGACAAGCCAGATTGTTTTTTTCTACCTTTATTTTTGAGTACATTTTTAAAAAATTTGTTGGCAGTGCTAGGAAGGGATAAAGTATCTTTGTGATGACGCTGCAATACCTCCTGAGCATTTATTTTGGTGCTGCCTCACTTGAGCAGCAGGCAAAGAGGTGGCAGCTGTAAGGACAGGTAGTCCTCTACTTGCGACCACAATTGAGTCCAAAATTTATGTTGCTAAGTGAAACATTTGTTAAGTGAGTTTTGCCCCATTTTACAACTTTTCTTGCCACAGTTGTTAAGTGAATCATTTAGTGGTTAAGTTAGCAAAGCAGTTGTTAGATGAATTTGGCTTCCCCATCAACTTTGCTTGTCAAAAGTTTGCAAAAGGGGATCACATGACCTAGGACACTGCAGCCATCATAATTATGAACCAATTGCCAAGCCTCTGAATTTTGATCATGTGACATGGGGTTGCTGCAACAGTCACAAGTGTGAAAAACAGTCATAAGTCACATTTTTTAGTGCAGCTGTAACTTTGAAAAATCACTAAATGACCTGTTGCAAATCAAGGATTACCTGTATAAAACAGGGGCGCTGGTTCTCACAGGACTTGTTGCCTTCAACCCATCTGAATACAACTTTATTTGGCAAGTTGCATTGCACTGATAGGTATGTGAATCGGTGTGAAGCAACAGAAAAGTTAAGGTTGAACTATTCAAATAATTCAAGGAACCTGCTGAAGAAAGAAAAAAAAACAGGATGAAAATTATTTTGTTTATATATTCTGGTAAACCAGAACTGGCTTCATCATGATTTGAAGAAGACCCCCTGATTGGCTTGGTTCTCACATTGTACTAATCCCTAAAACCAAGGTATATAAACCACAATAGCTGAGTTCACAAAACATGCTGAGCTGAAAATCTGCCAATTTATCAGATGCCACCTGCCTTCTCCTCTAGCATCTTATCTTATCTCTAACCTTTTTCTGAGCCAGTCTATATATTTTGGGGAAGAACAGGACTACAGGTGCACATTATTTCTATTTTCTATGAAAACCTTATGGGTACATTTTTGGAAATAAAGCTGATGAAGGAGACTGGGACTTTGCTTTGCAGGCAAGGACCATGGCAAGTATCAAGGGACAATATTAGTACAGCAACAGATCACTTTGGAGAACCCAGCCTTAGAGGAACATATGAATCCAACTATGATATTGATTGAAGTGTGTAACATTTAGCAAATATGGACAACCAATTACTAAATACTAATACATATAATTAAGAGATAGGCCCAATCAATAATATAAAGCCTAATGGACATCTAGATTCCATGATATAAATCCAGAATAATAGTGTAGTAGTGCATATTTTATGAAGAATTGCTACAAAGCTATCACACAACCGTTTGTATTTCAAGTACAAAGATACTGCTGCTGTTTTTCTAGCAAATATACAAATCATTTAAACATTCACTAAGGAACTTTTTCTTTTCCTGTCCGTGTATATGCTCCTTTGCCAGATAGAACTCATTTGCACCATACCAAAGGTGTGGAATGGCAGTCAGGAATGGATATCTTTTATCATCATTTC